GGCACAACCTAATGAGGTAGGTCTAATCACTCCATTTTACAAAGAAACTGAGGCACACAAAGGCCAGTGACTTGTCCCGGCGTTAGGAAGGATGCGGGTCAGATTTGCACCTGTGTTTCTGTAACTCCAGAACCCATGCACTTGTCCCCTAAGCAACACGGCCTCTTGGTCTTATTCCTATTCATGGGCTGACCATACATCCCTGTTTATGCCTGCTGTCCTAGCACAATTATTATTATTTATTTATTTTATTTATTTTTATCCTCACCAGAGGATACTTTTTTTTTTTTTTTTTTTTTTTGCATTTATCTTCAGATAGAGTGGGAGGGAGAAAGGGAGGAAGAAAGAGAGAAACACCAATGTGAGAGAGACACATCGAGTGGTTGCCACCCACACGACCCCAACTGCGGCCGGGGACAAACCGCAACCGAGGCACATGCCTTTAGTGGGAACCGAACCTGGGACTCTCCGGTCCGCGGGCTGAAGCTCTAACCGCTGAGCCAAACCGGCCAGGGCTGTTATTAGTTTTTGTTAATCCTCACCCAAGGATATTTTTCCATTTATTTATTTATTTTTATAAGATAAAGTGGAAGGGAGGGAGGGAGAGGGAGAGGGAGAGAGAGATGTTAGAGAGACACATCAATTGGTTGCCTCCTACATGACCCCGGCTGGGGCTGGGGATCGAACCTGCGACCCAGGTACGTGCCCTTGACTAGGAATCAAACCCATGACCCGTCAGGCCTCGGGCCGATGCTCTAGCCTCTGAGTCGAAGAGCCAGGCTGTCCTGGCACAATTATTAACAGAACCTCCTTTCACTCCCCAAAGTATCCTGGTTTGGTTGATACATTTTCAGGAAACCAGGCCAGGTGGAACCTAGATTATCAAAGCCAGATGCTGGTGTGCAGAGTTGGAGAAACAGCCTGCACCTGCCCTCCCTGTCCCAGAACTCTGGCTGCCATGCTCGTTCTCCCGGGCAGGTGCGCGCCGTGCTGGTGAGATGGCCCTCATCACCCCTGGACACGGGCAGTCTACAGGCCAGCCCTCTGAGATGCCCAGACTCCAAGGCTCTTTGTTCGTCTGTGGAGAAAGAGCTCAGTTTTCTCCGGCTCCCTCTCCCCTAGTGTCCTTCCCAGGATCTGCTCCCTGTTCCCACACGTTAGCCTGGCTGGGAAAGCAGCCGCCGGGGTCCTCGGTGCTCCCGGTAGGAGCATCTGGGCCCCGAGTGTTTTCCCTCGTGGTGGGCACTGAAGCTTAGGGCTTTCGAACCTCCTTGTCCAAATTTGCAGGTGAGTCCTGGAAACAGAGGCCTGGGGCTCTCCACACACACTGGGCTGTCCTGGGGACAGGGCAGATGGAGAGGATGACATTGGGTGCCCTTCAGTTGGGCACTGGGGACTCAGAATTGAATCAGTCTTTGCCTCAAACTGCTCATAGGCCAGGGGGGAGGCCGACTCTACAACAAAACTAGCCCTGCAGTTACTAAAGCTGTGGGAACAAACTGCAACTCAAACACAAAGAGGAAACAGAGAAGGTTATCGGTCAAGTCTTGCCACAACAATGCTACATCACAAATGAGCCCATGATTCATGGCTTACTGTTAGGAGCATTTCTTTCTGGCTCACGTGTCTGCTGATGCACTGGGACAGTGCTGTTGATTTATGCGAGGCCTGGCCGGGCTGGCTCCTGGGTGTGGGTCTGGTCGAAGTATGCCTTGTCTCTCACTCTTCCGGAATTAGTGGTCGGTCTACACGGTGGGGAAGCTGTGCTCATGGCAACAGCAGAAGCCCAAGAGGACAAGCTTTGCCATCAAGCCCACGTCACGGCTTTGCTCCAGGTCTCATCCCCAAACATCTCCCTGGCCAGAGCAAGTCCCGGAGCACAGCCCAAGGGCAAAGCGTCCCCGAGGTACACTAATTACTCCCACATGGGAGAGAGGGGAAGGAAATATTTGTCAAACAATCATCCAAACCTCACAGAAGGTTTCAGAGAGGAGGTGTCATTGGACCTAGGCCTTGAAGGGGAAGTTGGCTTTTTCCAAGTGAAGATGGTATAGGGCACTGCCCTCAAATGGGGTGGGGTTGTTAGGGTAGTGGTAGGGGCCTGGCCATAGAGTTCCCCAGAGCTAGAAGCCTGGTATGTCCTTTCTTTGAACACAGTACACGCCCTGAGCCCCTCACACCTTTCCTTCCCCCCAAATTCTAAAACTTCAACTATACCAAACACAAGTTTAAGACTCAGTTTTTAGGAAGGAGTCATATTGAAAAGTGTAGTGCTCATCCCTACACTGCAGATGTATGCGTTTCACTGGGCATAAATCAGCCAACGTTATAGCCCACCCACCCCCGTTTCAGGGTTCAGGTCCAACCTTGCAGCCTCGTAGCCCTTGAATAGACTCCTTGATGACAAAGCCAAGGAGGCCAAGAGGTGAATCGACATAAAGAACTCAGCCTGCCAGTGTGGCTCAGTGTTGAATGTCGGCCCGTGCCCCAGGAGACCTCCAGTTTGATCCCAGGTCAGGGCACATGCCCGATCCCCGTTGCAGGGTGTGCAGGAGGCGGCCAGTCGATGTTCTCTCTCATCGATGTTTCTATCTCCCTCTCCCTCTCCCTTCCTCTTCCCCTCTCTCTAAAAAACCAATAAAGAAAAGATATCTTAAAAAAGAACTCAGGGACGGGGACTGGGAAACCCATGCTGAAGGACTGGCGGCAAGCAGGGGACGCCCGCACACAATGACCTGGGGCCAAACAATGGTGGGAAGGATGGTTACAGGACAGGATGCAAACAGTACAAACCTGACAATGTAAAAATAAGAACTCACAGCACCGGGAGGGGGGCAGGAGGTAGGAAGTGGGTGAGCTCATTTCCTCATCCTAAATCGCAGGCTGTCTAGAGATGCCATCTACAGTTGAAACAGGTTTAAAGAGTGAATCCAGCCTCTTGATATTTTTCTTTCCTTTTAGAGAAATAATTAAGAAGCACAATTATTTGCAGTTTGGCAATTTCTAGATACATTTAGGCTTTCTTTTTTGTTCTGTTAAATTTTAAGTACCTTCCCCCAAAAGAGCATGTATTTGTGAGTCCTTTTTTTTTGAAAAAATGTCCATCCATCTACCTGCCCTTTTCTCTGAATACATGTGGAAGAGGGTATCTCCATTGCTTTTGTACTTATCAGTGTTACATCAATTTCTTATCATGAGCATGCTCTACTATTATAAAAGGGAAGCCTTTTCTTTAAAAAAAATTTTCTGGAAAAGAAATTCCTATGCTCCTCAGCTGGCCGCTCCTACTCAGGCATCTTCCTCCCAGGGATGTTTTCCTCCAGTGAGGACGGAGTCACTGGATCCCATTGGTGGTCCGGCTCGGGGCGGAGACCGGCAGCAGGTGTGAAGGCGCGGTCCTGGGAGTCAGAGCCTGTGCTCCCTGTTCCGCCCAGGGACTGAGCCTCTCTGCCTCTGCTTCCTCATCTGTAAACCTAAGAAGTCATCCTTGCCCTACCTCTCAGGCACAGTGAGGGGCATGTGATGTGCAGTGTCTCACTGTCCACAGTGGAGCGGTCATGAGAGAGGCTTATTTACATTGTGTCATCATAGGATGCAATGCTAACCAACACCAGTGCCGACCAGTTAAAGGCTCAATTTGAGAGGGTCAGGTCAATGTATCTTGTTGTTTTGGGTCCTAACAGCCACTCTTATGGTCTCAGCTCCATCTAGTGTCCACATGAGGACACAGCCACATACGGGGTGGGGCAAGAGTAGGTTTATAGTTGTTCGTATGACAAATAATACAATTAATGAATAATAATACAAGAATAAATTCTGTTTCACAACTGTCAACCTACTTTTGCCCCCGCCCCCGTATAACTGGCTTATTGCAAAACCCTAAATTCCATACTTGCAAATGGTACAGCACTCAGACAAACAGGACCTAAATAAGATCAATTTAGAACATTTCCCCCGCTACTAAAATGTGGTATTTCAAAACAAGTATTATGCCAATTTAGTACTTCTAAAGATTTGTGCATCCTTTCTTTGAAAGGACATATTAAAGCAACAAATAATACTTATAATAACTGACCCTGAGGGAGCTGTCCCCGCCCCCCTGTGGCCCTGAATTTCTGAATGTGGGGACAGAAACGAGGCCGTGAGGAGAGGTCTGAGGTGCCCTTGGGTGTCAAGAGGACTGAGGCAGTGGATAGCGCAGGGTGGTGTTTCTCCGCAGGGCTCCCAACAGGGACAGGCCGAGGTTTGGAGCAGGAGGCTGGGGAGGGAGTCTCAGAGACCACCGGCTCAGTGCACTAGGCCCAGGAAGGAAGGGAAGCCAGGAGAGGGTGGGCAGGGTGAGAGAGGAAGGGACAAGAGATACAGTTCTCAGTGCGGTCAAAGAACTAGGTGTGTATGGACCAAAGTAGAAAAGATGGCTCAGGAAGTTAGGGTCAGAGATGTGATTTCTGAGGCAGATTTCAGCAGCATCCCCTTTATGACAAGCTCTGGGTGTGGCTGAGCAGGTGGGTCTGAGGCCGGAGGATGTTGGCTGTTGGCTAGACCAGGCCTGTGAAGCCTGCTGGAACATGGAGAAGGGGTAGGGGTGAGGAGAAAACAAAGCCAAAGTCCTTGGGGAGGTGGGGGACTAAGGCCAGCCCATGACCACGGGGCACTGGAGGAAGCAGCAGCCAGGCCTGAACCTCCAGAGGGGAAGGGTTTTAGATGAGGGCAGAAGCAGGGGTCTGGAAGGGGTGCTGGCAGAACACTGAGACACCACCAGGTACTGTATCCTTGGTACTCACAGCTTCAAAGGAACCACGTACCCTACTGCTTTCTGAGCTTCTCTCAGCAGTGGACACATGACAAGCAGATCAGTGCAGGACCTGCCAGCCAAGGACCAGAAATCCCTACTGCAGGCTGAGCTGCACAGGAGGCGGCGGGAGAGAAAGGCGTTTCCCCAATTCATTGCATCCAAGGCTGAAGAAAAACACCAAATGCAGATACAACTTCATTGTGCTTTTAATTAAGAAAGATGTAAAATGATGCATTATAAAACTTGAAAGCTACTTTATACAAATTCCAATCTTTAAATATTGTTTAACAAGGGACCTGGGAGTTAGGACACTGGCGGGAAGTCTGATTAGTTGCTGTGATGGTTCCATCACGAGCCATGAAAACACGCTCAGAACCATCTGTGCACACAGCAGAAGAGCTGACAAGATTCAGAACTGGAAATGTCTTCAAACATGCAAATGGCCTGGAATACACAACAAACCGTTCAGCTCAGGTAATATACAGTAGACTTAGGAGAAATGAAACAGGACAAAGGAGAATTTATGTTCATCTTGACATGATCAAGAAAATTTTCTCCTAACACCTTATGTCCTACAAATCACAACCGTACACAAAGGAAAAATGGAAACAGATAGGTTTTAGTTCTGTGCTGTTTAACTGCTAGTAAATGGGAGTAGTACAGCCATTGATTTCTTCTAACAAAACTAAATATTGGAAAATGCTCAGTATGCAGCCACTTCAGAGGTCGTCAAGGATCACGCCTGGCTTGTTGTAAGGCATCAGTGAGTGCAGACTTACCTGCCGACAGTCAGAGCGACTACCTGTCCATGGTTGTCCTTGACACCATCTAAGCAAAGTAGGTTGTATAATGCCCAAAACCTTTTCACAGGAAAAGATCGGACTGATGGACCTAAGGATAAATTTAATTCAGTGCTAAACCTTACTGTCATTATCATACTCCCCCAAACAAGCCATTTTCCCTGGAAGCCTCCATGCTCACGAGTCACACAGAGAAGCCCCCCAGGCAGCACCAGTTATCACATAGGTCTCAGGGTCTCCAGCCATAAGGTGGGGCTGCTTCGCAGACAAAGAAAGCTGGGACCGTGACACTGATGATCCCCAGGGGTAAGGCACTGTGCAGTGAATTATGCTGGGACCCCCACTCTTAATAAAAACCTATTATAACATCAGCACCACTCCCGTCTGAAAGGCCAGACCAGATGTCAGGAGCCTTGGACACAGGAAAGGCAGCAAGGACCTGGCTTCTTTCGGCAAATGGGGTGCTGTGTACTGTTGGAAGAAAGGTCCTTTACTTTAATATGGACTCATTCCCCTCCCCCCGCTGCGATCCTCAGTATCAAGGGATCTGGAAGTCCCAGTGGGAACAGCTGGGAAGGGGAGGCCCACTGCCCCTCCCGAGCTGGCGCTCAGCAAGGAGGACGCTGGCTCTGTCCCTGACTCAGCGCTGGGGCCTGGGGCTGGTGTGAAGTGGCTCACGTCAAGGCTGGGGAAAGGCCAGGGGGCAGCGATGCTCCTGAAGATAGAAAAGCAACGGGACATGGTCTGGAGAGGCTAATAGCCCAGGATCCTGTGACAAGGCTCCTCTTGCCATAAGGCACAGAAGTGCCCGACTCAGACCAGCAGAGTACAGACTCGCTGCTTTGGGCTGGGAGTAGCCTAGTGCCCTTCAGGGAGGAACACTCCTAGTATCTCCAGGGGAGGCAGTGGCTGTCCAGGCAAAGGTTCTAGCACCTCTCACCTCTCCTTTAGTGTCCCTGCCCCCCCTCCTTGTCTCCCATGCTCAAATTCTGCCCAGACCGCTGCCCGAGGGTGCTCAGCAGGTCCTGTCGCCTCGGCCCCCTTCAAACTCACCCATCAGGTTTCTGATCAGGGGCTGGCCTAGCCTAAGCTGGAGGGGCAGGCAGTGGCGGTTGATTTGGTAATACTATTTTATGCTAAGGTATTAATGACAAATAATGGTTTCATGAATTAGGTCTTCATTTTACTACAGAATGTCTTCAACTTCAAAGAATGAATCGCTATTTTAAAACAATTTAGAGAAGAACATGGATCTGAGAGGGAAGATCTTTTGAGGTGAGGCCTGCCAAGACCCCTGAGGCCCTAGCATTTGGGAGGCCTCAGCTGACTCAGACATTGTGGATGCATTCAGAAGACAGTTTGCACCTACCTGCTGTGGAGCATAACCTTGAGGATGGGTGCCCAGTCTAATGGTGGATTTGGACACCTAGTGTTAAAAGCATATTAAAGTGCATGCTTGACTTAACCACAGGCACAAGTGTCAGAAAAGCTAAAGCTCTGAGAAGATTTGGCAAGGAAAGGGATAGCTAAAGATTAGACTGCCTTACAGCAGGCAGATTCATTCATTCATGCATTCATTCATTCATGCATTCATTTATGCATTCAGCACGCAGTTACACAGCACCTGCTCAGTGCCAGGCACTTGTTGGTACTGAGGGTTCAATGATGAATAAGGCACAATCCCTGCCTGCCCTCAAGGAGCTCGGGGTCCAGTGGAGGTACATTAACACCCCCGTTCCAGAGAAAGAGCTTCACTCCGCTGATGCTCAGCTAATGGCTGAGTCTGATTCAATCCTCCAGCTGTTCCCTCCAGGTGGTATGTTCAGAGGGAGGCCTGCACGTGTCTGGAGCTTGTCCAGAGTTTGTCTGCAGGACGCTGTGTATCTGTGAGAGACCTGCAGGCCCCTTCTTTCTTCCACAGCCACCAAGAAGCACTGTTCTCTCTCTTCAGGTTCATCCATGACCAGGGGAAATTTTCTTCAGTGATTGAATAAAATAGTCTTCCTTTTCCTCTTGTCCATAGGAGAAGGTGAACGGAAGCAGCAGAAAAGAGATTATAAATGGGAAGAGAACAAATTGCCATTCAGCTCACTAGGTCTGTTCTTGGACTCACGGTGTGAATTCTTCTTCATATTAGAATTAAGGCATCTGAGAGAGCTGTGGCTCTCTGTTCTGCCCTGAACGCGCCTGCCACCAGCTGGCAGGGCCCAGCCATAACGGCTGGATCAGAGAAGGCAGCTGGTGCTATGGTACCGTTGCTTGACACTGAGCCAACTCCTGAAGGCTGGTGGCCCCTAACTGCCTCTCATACCGGCCAGGCCCTGCCTTCAGGGTAGACTGAGATCAGTGGTTCTGAGCACTGCACAGTGCTCCTGGGGTCCCCAGTCCATGTTCTCCACCTTTACACAGTGACTGGCGAGATGGCCAACAAAAAGGTGTGATAGTTGTGGTGACGACCAACTCACTGGAAGCTCCGAATCAACCTGCCTGCAGCAACATAACCTGTGCCACAGGCCTGAGAGGCAGTGCATAGCTCTGTGGTCTAGAATAAGACACAGTACATGAGATGGGACCTCATCAGAAAGCTAGGAGCCCTGGAATCGGTTTTTTCCATGTCAGAAGCCCTGGATAATTAAAGCCCAGGGGTGTTGCCGGCTCCATTCTATTCTGTTCCATTTTAGCTGTTTCAGATGTAAATGCTCCCATTCTGTTCCATTCTGGTCACAGTCGGTCAGCTCGAAACGTCTCTTCAACAGAGGGGTCAAGCAGGCCCATGCTGGAGTCACTTAACATGTTGAGTCCATCCAGGCTCAGGGGTTCAATTTGGAGATCTTCTTCCAATGGAAACGGAGTGTCCATGTTCAGACTGACCTCAGGCATGCCCGCTAGTGCACTGCTGACATCTCTGAACAGGCCGGAATTTGAGTCTTCTGGAAGAAACAGCAAGAGGCAACAGGGCAGATTAGGGTGTGTGAGGGCCCCGGGCTACAACATAACTAACTGATGAAATCCCCAAACATTATCCCTGTTAAATTCCCAACCAGGACAGTTATCGCTGTGTCCCAACCACTTCCCAGCCTACAGTTTTGCTCTGGAATCTACATTCTTTCCACAACTCCCAATTTTTGTCAGCTTTTTCCATTTGAATACTTGTCAATCACTTAAAATTAAATATTTCAGAAAAAGGCTCACTGCCGTCACAGTCTCTGGGCTAGACACCTGCAACTCACAAAGGTAAAGCTGAGCTGAGGTACTTTCCGTTTTTGCTTTATCTAATGTCGTTGTTTAAGCTATCTTGCAATGGCATCTGTAAAAACACAGCAAAGTAAAAAAAGCGAAGAAGCTGAGGGGCGGCCCACACTCACCGGTCAGTATGGTGTTTGGGAAATTCCCACAGTTGGAATACAAATTTGGTCTCAAATGAAATGAGTCCTGTGGTTCTTGGGGACCTTGCTGCACCAGCGGCACCTGGATACATCAAAGGTTATGTAGTAAAGAACTATCTCTGCTTCCCAGGAGTGAGTAATGCAGTGGCTTCCCTGTAGGCTCCCAGAGTGCTCTGCTGTGCTGATAACCACCCTACAGAGAAGGCTTCTCAGGCAGGCAGATGCTGGTATGGAGTGGGGGTTCCTGCAGTCCACAGTGTAGGAGGCTCATCCCCATTCACACACTGCCTGGCCCACTAAGCCTTCCAGAGACACCCACAGCTGTGGCTTCTGTGCCCCTCTGGTCTCAGACCCCTTCTCCTCAGTCACACTGAGGCCGGTGGAAACTGCCATCTGTGGGAACCCTGCCAAGGCTCCCCAAGGATGACCGAGGAACTGATGTAGCTGAGAGGCTCTTTTCCTCTTTGGTTTCCACAAAAATGAGATAATAGAGCCCTTTTCTTCTCACCCCAGAGGAAGGAGCCGCAGGCAAGCCCCTCTATTTGAAAGCCCCTCTGAAGACAGGTTAGAATGGAGGCCTACGTTAGGTGCCTTTGCAGAAATGAATTTTCCAAACTATTTGTACAATCTCTCAAAAGTAGAAGTTTCCATCATTTTTCTGGGAGAGGCTGACTCACTGAGACTAAAATGGCTTCTCCGGACAAGAGGGAGGCAGGACTATTGGTTTTTACCACGAGGCTTTACGATAGCCTCCTCAGGATATATGCCTTTCTTTATTCCACTGCCACTACGTTCTGGGAAGTGCTCCTCTACCCTCAACCCATCCTAGAGCCCAGTCCACACTTATTACACATTCCAAAATCTAGGGATATTCAAAATGGTCAGTGTTGTGGAAAAATTAAAAACCAAAGGAAATGGCTGAATGGAAATAGCTTAGGGAAGGACCCCTGTCCTCACCAGGACCAAACTGTCCTGGGAGACCACACACTGTGCTGGGCACAGTGACCAGGCCTGCAGGCTAAGCCCCTCCCTGCATCCCAGTCTTCTCAGCAGAACAGGCCAGTGGACTGCCGCGGTCCCTGCCCGAAGGAACGATTCTACGGTTCTAGGACTAGAGTGTCATCATGAGTCTTCCATCACTCATTCTAACAGCTCCTCTGCTGAGGCCTGGCACTAAATAAGGCAGCCAGCACCAGCACTTTAGGGCTAGGAGAGATCCCAGGTTCTCCCCGCCACCAAGCACATCTGAAATCAGAGAAGTAGAGTTCCTAGCCTGCTTGGTGTGGGTCCCACACACTGAACAGTCCCCGCTCTGAGAAGAGGCAGGCCCCCTGGGGTGATCACTCACCTGTTGAGTAAAGGCTGGGCCTGGTCTCATGGACTGCTGGTCAAAGCTCACCTCTGGGAAAAAGTTGGTCAAAGATGAGCCCTACAGGGAATAAGGAAGGGATCATTTAGTTTGGAACTCAAGACAAAATAAGCATTCCCTCCAAACCGCTGTTCCCGCTAGGACTCGCCTGGGCCGTGAGGAGCTGGAAGTCTGACTGTGGCAGTGATGAGGCTGCGTGTGGCTGCGGAGCAGGGGGCTCCTGGGTGCGGGGCTGCGGTAGGAGAGGCTGTGGGAGTTCCTGGGGGGTGGGGTAAGGGGGAGGTGGGGACACTTGAGCTTGAGCTTCTGTGGGCAGGAAGGAAAGTGAGCTTCCATCAGAGGACACCATCTGAAAAACAAAGTCACTAAGTAGCTTAGCTTCTGAGTTTCTAGTAGAAAGTCCTTTAAGATGAGGAAATGTCACAGTGACAAAAACCTGAGATCTTCACCATGGCAGTCTATGCTGTGCTCTGAGAAGCCTATTTCTGCTTCTTCAAAGAATATCTCAAATCTCACTCTCCCCCAAAGCATTTCCCATTCACTGACAATTTCTATTGTCCTAAAAACAAAACAAAACAAAACCCCGGCCGATTTACCAGTTTCCTCTCAGTTTTCTCAGGAAAAACCATGGTGTTTTTTTTTAAAAGCTGTAAAACTGATTAAAGTTTCTGGTTGAAGATGGAAAACTGAAAAAAGCATTTAGTTCTTCTGCCTCCCAAAATTCTACAAAAGATACTAAAACAACATTAAACAACAATAAACATTCATAAACAACACTAAAACAATAACAACAAAATGATAACAAACAACATGAGGACAAAGATAATAAGATAGAAGGAAATGGCAACAAAATGTGGAAAATGAAAAGCAGATGAACAAGTGACTGGCCTGGCTGAGCTGAGAAGGCCGAAAGCTAAGCTGGCAGCGGAGAAACTAAGACGCAACCTGATTTACATCCCAGGATCCCAGAGCTGAAACCAGGAGGATCTTGTCAAAGTTTAGGTGAGAAGCGGTCAGGCTTCTGAGCCCTGGCCTGTGGAAGACTGGAGGGCTGTGTTCTGGAGAGAGGACAACAAAGGGTTTCTGGACAGGGCACCCTGACCCTAGCAGGCGAGGCACTCTCCTGAAAATACAGTTTATGAGAAAGCTCACTGTTAAACTTGAGCCCTCCACCTTTCTCTCCCAACTCAGTTCTCAGGGAAAGAAATCATCAAAGAAATCATTAAAGAAAATTTCCCAGAAATGAGGGCTATGAGTTTCCAGATTGAAGAAAGCCGCCAAATATCTAGACTCAAGTCAGGCTACATTATTCTGAAATTTGAGAAAACCGGGACAAAAAGATCCTATAAGCCTCCAGAGGGAAAAAGAGAAAGGAGATTTCATTCAAAGTATTAAGAATAAGAATGAAATTGAATTTTTCAATAGCAGTTCTAGAAACTAAAAGGGCAATGGATTAATAACTTCAACATCTCAAAAGAAAATTATTTTCAATTTAGTACTCTATATCCAGCCAAACAATGAAATGGTGAGTAGAATAAAGACATATTTAAATCATGCTATGTACTCATGTACTCTTTCTTGCAAAGCTATTGGAGGATTTGTTTTTAGCTGTATTGAGAGATCTGCTCAATTCCAAGAGTTTGGGAATGAATCAGTAATACATACATAGAAAACCAGACTAACAAGGTAGGACATTTATTAACTACCAAGAGGGAAAAAAAGTTCATTTTTTTATTTCATAGAATACTATATGGTTAAACTCTGACTACATCATTATAACTATGAAAAAATTGCATACTGAGTACTGCTCTAATCAAAATCATAACAAACCACAATGTGAAGAAAGAAGAAAGAAGTGGAGGGAAGAAATGAGTGTATGTGTGTGGGAGAATTGGGAGAACTGAAAGAGAACAAAACACTAGTCTTCCATGGTAGATTATCATTCGATAACACCTAACACTAAAAATGTAGAATAAAATAAGCATGAAAGAACGTGGGTAAACCAAAGAGATTAGCTAAAATGGTTGAAAGTAGTCATCTCTAGGGAGTGAGGAATATGGTAGGGAGGGGAAACAACTCTAACTTCAGAACAAGTCCTTTAGAAAACTATCTAACTTTTTAAACTATGAGTATGAACAACATTGATTAAAAAAAAAAACTAAATATAAAGCAAATTAAAAAATGTAAACATCTAAAAGAGGATGCTCTCTATCTATACAGTCTCCTTAACATGTATCTAGGAAGCCTGAGTAATATTTTATATATCCTGTCAAATAATTTTGCGAAATAAAATTAATAACATTAAAAAACATTAAAAAAAACAATTATGAAATAACCTCTTACCTTCTCCCGAAAGGGATTACTCATATAATCAAGATCCCGTAGCTAGTAATTGGTAAAGAATGACTAATAACTGGATTTGCCAATCCTTCCATTGTGTTCTGTCCACTCCTCCTTGCTAAGTCATTACTCATTTATGGAGCAGTGGTTAGTAAGTGATGGTATAATGTGACCAACAAGTTAAAAATATATTCACTGATGATTTTGTTAAGGAGAACCACCCTAAGAGAGCTTAGAATAAAAACAAAGTCAGCAAGGCAAAATATGATGTTTCAACCCCTGAATTTCTATAACAGGGTTGGAACTTCAGTCTCTTTCTAAACAGACTTCTTTGGGTTCTTCATAGTGATATGATCCTTATTACACCTACTATTTCATGAATAATAAAAGTATCGTTTCTCAAATCTGTAGTCGTAGTTAGGGAAGAGGTCTAATATAAAAGTTGTAGGAAGATATTATATGTCTTCTTGGGCTTGTCCTTGTGGTTTAAAGTACTTAGAGAGCCAATTATTGATTTTCCATTCCTGGTCTCCCTGAGCTAAGGTAGACATATCTAGATTGTGTCCTCTATACCCTATCCTTTTCCCCAACCTCAACTTCAAGAGTTACAATGACTGCAAACTGTTCAATGTTTGCTTAGGAATGGTTAACACACATTTGCACTTAGAAAATCATTAATGCATTCTGAATTCCTCACATTTCTGGTCTCTCTGATTTTAGATATAAGTGACCTCAAGGACAACGCTTGGTGGAATGGACCCAACCCAAAATGACGCAGAGAAGGAAAGCAATTCCTATATTGTTCAGTGTGTTTCATCGTAGTTGTTTTTACCTGTGAGGCAGGATATGGGTTCAACGGGCTGGTTAGAGAGAGCTGTCTGCTGAACCCTTGCTGTGCTTCAGGGCCAGGGGACAGCGTGAGAGGGCTGACGGGGGGCTGCCTACGCCGAGAGGGCCCACTCAGGTTTGTGGTGGAAAGAGACGGGTTGCTGAGGGAAAAGAGACGAAGTGAAGGGTGAAGAGTAGAGGCGTTGGGAGCAGATGTCTGTGGGTGACTGTTTAAGGAAGAGGAAAGCGCTGGCTGATTGAGTGTGGCCTGGATGGAGGGGTTACTCCGGGAACTCTGGAGACCTAGGAGACAACAAATTTACAAGTTACTTGTCATAATTTCAGACCAAGTCATTTGTTTTCCAAAGATTAAAGAAAACGTAGCTTCCTGTGATGTGATGATGACTCTGTATGTGGAGGAGCTCCTGGAAACTCTCCTACTGAACCTGTATCCGATGTACCAACGGCAAAGAAGGGTGCCAGCAAGAGGAGAATGTGTGCTGGAGAGGAAGGTGCTTGTGTGAGGGCCGCTGGGAGAGCAGGACCAGGCACAGTGGGTAGCAGCGGCGCACGTGCAGTGTGCTCAGCTGCAACCCAGGGAGCGGAGCCAGTGCTGTGCAACACATCCTGTCTCCAGGCCCCAGGTGTCTCTGTCCCAGGGAGCGGAGCCAGAGCTGTGCAACACATTCTGTCTCCAGGCCCCAGGTATCTCTGTCCCAGGGAGCGGAGCCAGTGCTGTGCAACACATCCTGTCTCCAGGCCCCAGGTGTCTCTGTCCCAGGGAACGGAGCCAGTGCTGTGCAACACATCCTGTCTCCAGGCCCCAGGTGTCTCTGTCCCAGGGAGCGGGGCCAGTGCTGTGCAACACATTCTGTCTCCAGGCCCCAGGTGTCTCTGTCCCAGGCATACTGCCGGGCCCTCTGCTGCTCCAGAGAACATCCTTGCACTGAGGGCGTGGATCTCAGGGAGCTGCCTCAGTGTAGCCTGTACATATCTCGAGCACGCCAGAGTCATGGGAAGAGACACTCTCCATGTCTCCTGCCCCATGGTTACATCCTCTTTGGTTTTCTGGCTCCTGAGAAACTGTTTATCACAGTCTATTCCAATTCAGGGAAAAGGAAACTTTTGCTGGTGCTTAGTTTTATGTTGGAGGGAGGGTATCAAGATTTAGCATGAGAAGAGAGTTTGGGAAAGGCATTTCCATACATGGGTAGCCAGGGAACGACCTGTCCTATGCCCGCTGGGTCCTTGACCCCTGGCACGGGCCTGGCACCGAGCGGCTTCGCTCCGTGAATGAATGCTGCTGCTGCTGCGTATCTAACCGGCAACACCCAGGTCTCACAGCTCAGCCCATCACTCTTGCACCAGCCGCGGGGGTGAGCAGAACTATATATTGTTTCATGTGGATATAAAAATTGAGTGTTAAATGAAAATGAAGAAATAAAGCATTTTTAGCTGGCAAAGAACTTTTAAAAGGTAGGAAAGATGTCTCTGATAAAGCCTTAAGTAGTATTCCACAACTCAACTCTCCATGGAAGAAGTTCAGAGACAAGGCTGGCTCAAATAAGAATTAGAAATAGGCCCTGGCCAGTTTGGCTCAGCGGTTAGAGCGTTGGCCTGCGGTCCGAAGAGACCCGGGTTCGGTTCCCGCTAAGGGCATGTACCTCGGTTGCAGTTTGTCCCCGGCCCTGGTTGGTCGTGCAGGTGGCAGCCACTTGATGTGTCCCTTTCACGTCGATGTTTCTCTCTCTCTCTCTCTTCCTCTCTCTCCCTCCCACTCTATCTGTACAAAAAATGGAAAAATGTCCTCGGGTGAGGATAAAAAAAATAAATAAATAAAAAGAAAAAGAAATAGCCCTGGCTGGGTGGCTCAGTTGGTTGGAGCAAAGTCCGGTTCACCAAAAGGTTGAGGGTTTGATTCCCAGTCAGGGCACATACCTAGGTTACAGGTTTGAGCCCTGGTTGGGGCACATATGGGAGACAACCAATTGATGTTTCTCTCTCACATCGATGTTTCTCTCTCTCCCTCCCTTCCTCTCTCTCTCAAAACCAAAAATCAAAAGCCAAACAAACAAAAAAACATATCCTTGGGTGAAGATTAAAAAAAAAAAAATCAGAGCTAAAGATATGAACTTCGTTTTTTTTTAAAAAAAAAAAAACCCCACTCATTCAGAAAGAAAGCATAAACATCTTTAAAAAATTATGTGCAACTTTGCTTACCATGCATTTTGAGTTCCATGCATAGGAACTAGAAAAACTTGACACTGGTTCTGACATATGCTGGACAAAATAAGGCTTATTTGAGGAAAATAAGAGGCAGTGGTTAAAATCAGGATTTCCAGATGAAGCACAGTGTTAGAGGCGACACGGGAGAATGCCGGCTTCCCTAAGACCCAAGGGAGCTAAGTGCCGATGTGATTTCACTTATGTGACCCTGAATGTCTTTTTTCAGAGAATGTCTACAGGCACATAAGTAAAGCAGCAGGATAAACAAATGACCAAAATAATAAAAAATAAAGGTGGTTGCTGAAATCAGTTCTTCAAACCTAAAATTATGTTGCAACCTGGCAGCATGACTGTAAATCTCCAGAGAGCCTTCCAGGTGACCACCCTGAAGCGGACCACTCTCATTTGTGTGGTGAGTTCTGCTTTACATAGACAAGTCAGGCTGAACCCAGAGTGGAAAGCAGCACTCTCTTTCCCCATAGACCCACACGATTCTTAGGACCATTATGGCCAGGGCCGTCCCACACCCCTGGGTGAAAGAGGGAGTAATAACACTGCCCTACACACTGATCAGAGCACATGTCAAGGTTTAAGCAAATGTAGTCACATGGGGTCTGACCTGTAAACACTCAAATTCATATAGTAACATCCAAGTCACATTATGGGTAGCATATTAATACAACTACATGCCACATCTTTTAGCACTTCTGAAAATTTGAGCCATTAATTTTGAACTGTGGTAGATTTCCATTTAATATATGTATCTATCTAAGTATAAATGCTGTCATTGTATCCACTGTAAATTTTCTAAAATGCAAAATGTTCTCTTTTGAAATCCAATGGGAAATTAGAGGGAACTAGAGAGACAGCTATGATGATTACATAGCATAGCATCCTATGATAGTTAATGAAAGCCACTAACATTGTTCAGCCAACACAGAATAGAATGGACACTTATTTCTTGACTCTCAAATCTTATTCTCCAAGTCCCCGGGATACATGGGCTGAAGAAGATGATAAAGAAGGAGGTTTAGCAGAGCTGCTCCAGAGCTCATAACGTCCAGCAGAAACTGGGCCACCAAAGCAACATGTCAGCAGGGTCAAGAGCTATAAGAACAGGTACGTGCTCTTACTCCACAATCCACTAACAGGCCACGTGGCTTGGGAACCACCTATTATTAAGCCACCAGTGGACATGGGCAAGGTCCTTACAGAGCAGGGGATACTTACCAGAAGAGCTTCTTATGCCCAGGTGAGTCATAGCAGCAGGAAGGTTGCCCACGCTATTCCCCATACTCATGCTACTAAAGAGGTGGTCACCAGGGTCCAGGGAGGCCGGCAGGGGCGCTGAGTAGTGGAGGTTGGTTAGATCTGGCAGTGACCCTCCAGTGTTCAGGGTCCCCAGAAAGGGTGAGAGGCCTATATTTTGATTGTTGTGTGGAAAAGTGCTAAAAAAGGAAAGATAAGTGTTATTTTCTAAAATCATTAGGCTTTGGGGAACAGGACATGTCTGATACATTTCCCTTGTCAAATAAAAGCAGTAGGTATCAAAGATTCAAGCGCTCATATAAGCTCTGCCTCTTCCTCATCCTCAGAATTTGCTTCCTTGGCTTAACCTCTCTGAAGTGCCATTCTCTACCTGTTAAGTTGGACTGAGGATGCCATCTAGGGCCACCTTATAGGAATATTTCCCAAGACCAGATGAGACAACTGATGCAAAAGTCCTTTAAAAATTATAAGCACCATATAAAGGCCTTGCTGTGTAATATACAGGATTCTGTTTGCTAGATTTCTAAATTGTCTTTCCTGCAAAAAAAACTACCTCTGTATCAACCAGATACCTTCCAAGATACAGTTTTTCAATTACAGTGTGGAGGATGGCTTAAGGGAACAAAAAGACAGCAGGGAGAACCAGTGAGGAGCTATGGCTGTGTTTCAGGAATGAATTCAATTGAGGACACTTCATTCAATATGGCACCTTTTAAGTGTACAGTTCAGTGGCATTAAGTACCTTCGGAGAAACTCAAGAAACTTGTATGTAACCAAGGTGCCAAGTGCCACAGTGTGTGGCTGGTGGGCTCTTCTCCACACCTGCACACTTCTGCTTCAAGGTGTGTGTTTACCAAAAGTCAGTTGTGTCATTCTCCCACATATTTATGGCAGCTTTATTTGTTACCACAGTATGTAATATAACTACTTTAAATAAATAAAATATAAGTACCAAACGAGAGCTGTTGTTTTTATGAAAATTTAGTTGACTTTCAGTTCCCACGTGACGGGTGTATTTTCTCAGTTCTGTGACAAAGCAGTAAGACTTCCCTTCCGGGAAAACCTTCAGGACAGACTGAGCCACGAACAGAAACAACATCACTTACTTGCCACCTCCAACATCACAGGATCGAGGGCGCCCTGACAGGGATTGAACCTGGAGAGAGAGAAGTTGGGCTTACTCACTTCAAAGCCAAAGTCAAGTTTTTAGAAGAATCTTTCTAAGTATCTTGGGCTCCAGTCAGGACAAGGCAGTAAATACACTTCATTTAGCAGCCCTTTCAGTTCTGACTATACTTCTCCAGGCACAAGGGAGGCAGAACATTAATACATTTTCTTAATTTGATGTTTATTATTTTATCTTCTAGATGAATAGTATTTCCTTCAAAAAGGCCAATGTTTTACATATAGAACTTTAATTTATTTATTTTTATCCTCACCCAAGGACATTTTTACACTTTATCTTGAGATTTAGAGTGGGAGGGCGAGAAGGAGGAAGAGAGAGAGAGAAACATCGACGTGAAACACATCGAGTGGTCTCCACCCACATGACCCCAACCAGGGCCGGGGACAAACCGCAACCGAGGTAGGTGCCCTTAGCGGGAACCGAACCCGGGCCTCTCTAGTGTTGGCCGACGCTCTAACCACGAGCCAAACCGGCCAGGGCTACATATAGAACTTTTAAATAAACATCCCTTTTCCAATTGGCCTGAAAGGAAAAGAATACAAAAGATAAAACAGGGTGAGGAAAGAAGAAATTACTATCACAAGAAAATAAATATTTTTTCAACTAGAAAGTAAGCAGGGTGGTGGGGCACAGGAATTTTGTTGTTTATGCAGACTCCCTGGACCTAGAATGCCGGGCAAAAGGTGCTCTATAAATATACTGTATGTTGAAAACGTGAACGAACCCACTGACTCAAGTCTTCTCCCAGAAATGATTTACGAGAACTACAAACCCTTCAGAACTAAGGGAGACGAGTGCCTCTCCCCAGAGGGAGGGCCTGGTACTCAGGAAAGAGTGGCTGTGGCTGCCTTCTGTGCTGGAGAAGATATTACTGTCCTCTGGTACAAGCCTCCAAAATGACTTGTGTCTCCACAGCCAAAAAGACAAAGTGTGGCTGCTTAGCCTATGTTTAAGGAGATAAATTTTAAATCATATCTCTTTTTCCCCTCCAAATGATGCAACATCAAATGCCTCTTACTTTTACAAAAGCCCACTCTAATGCTGAAGTGGATGTGGCAGAAGAAAATGGAACAGGATGCAGGAGCCTAGACAGGCGGGTGGTTAAGCACAGAAGCAATACAAGCAATGGAATCACTAAGGGCTGGGACAATGAGCTGTTTCCTTTCAAAGGCAACAGCGCGTCCCTATGGCAAGAAGGGCCCAGTCAAGTACCATGGGACCGCCCTTCTTCCACAGTTGAGGGCATGGTGGGGGTCAGCTAGCACACGTGTAGACACAAATATGAAAAGGCTCATAGAAATCATAAAACAGATGATTTGTTTACTGACTCCCTGAGGACTCAGGTCAAATGTCCTTGATTTAAAAAAGGGATATCTGGTGAGCCAGCAATTCAGGGCAGAAGCTGGTGACTGGTAGATGCTGTTGGCTACAAAACAGAAAAGTCTGCCTATGATTTGTAACCAGGTTTCAGTACTTTTAGTAATATGAATGACATATGGGGGACTGATAGATTTTTCTGAATCAGTTCATTCATATGCAAATTAGGAAGACAAAAGATCACTGTACTAACCCACCAACAAAATGTGATGATTTTTATGTGAACCATCATTCCCTAGTGTATTCTTCCCAGCTCTGTCCCCAGAGAAACTCTCTTGCTTTCCCCCTAATTCCTCCTTTGCTCCCCTGCAGGATTTCACAATGGCCTCTGACACAGCCAGTGATCACAAACACAGCTGAGCACTGTTCACCCACCTCCTTGGTCTCCCACAGTTGTTTTGGCAGTGGCTTGGGAACGTTTAACAGATGCTCTTCTTTCAGTGAACCCGCGAAAGATACCACTAAAGAGGGGAAAGCACATTCATTGCATTAGATGGTAGCCATCCCACCTATGGCCAAACAAATGATCTTCGTTAAGAAAAAAAAAAAAAAAATGATTTACTTCACAAATATTTCTTGTTCTGAGAGAGAGAGACCAGAAGACAAGGGAAGGTCCAGCCCTCGGGAATTAGGAGATCTGATGCCAGGAAGGGGATTCAACATTAGAGGCACAGGTGCCTGCTCGAAACTACACATGCAGTTAGGTTTTGGTGACCATGTGAGCTCCAGTTTGACTGTCAGGTTGTGACTGTCTATTTTAGCCCCACATGGGATACCCAAGGATAACAGACTCCAGAAAGAAGTCACTTAAAACAAGGACCAAAATTTCAGAGTAAATTCTGAGAAAAAGATTTCAAAAACGGAAATAAAAACTCTAAAGTAAGTTTATTTTGCCTTATATTTAATAGCACTTAGGGTGTGATGGCATTGGTGGATTTCTAGAATGAGTTGAGGATGATGGGGGCAGAATGTCCCTGACAGCACTGTAATAGAGCCCGGCCCAGTGTCTTTACAGTTACTCCTTACACCATCCTGACAGCTGTCATTCCTACTCAAATATGCCAGGCTTGATCAATGTCCTAGGTCTCTCTCTTAATCGTGATAGTCAAACCACTCTTTTCTGAACATTTTGTCAACATCCTTGTTTGATTTTCTTTTCTTCGAATGCTACTTAGTCTAGCTCTTAATATAAACTGCTTCAGAAATGTGAACTCCACAAGGGCAGGGCCTTTATTCTACTCACCTACCAGGGCGTGCTGAAAACAGTGCCAGGTAAATCCTGGCCCTTCAGCTGACTCTCACACTGGAGGGCAGGAGTAACAGGTTTGAGAGCCTTTGCAAAGCAGTACAATGGGACACTTGAGAATAAACAATCAGACCTGGCCCGTTTGGCTCCGCGGTTGGAGCGTCGTCCTGTGGACCAAAGGGTCTTGGGTTGATTCTTGGTCAAGGGCACAGGCCTGAGTTACAGGTTTGATCCCCCGGCCCAGGTCGGGGCCCTTCGGGAGGCAGCCAACTGACGTTTCTCGCTCACATTGATGTTTCTCTCTCTCTCTCTCCCTCCCTTCCTTCTACTCTATCTAAAAAAATCAATGAAAAAATTTCCTCGGGTGAGGATTAACAACAACAACAAAGAAGAATAAACAATCGCTATCTAAGGCACTGATGGATGATAGGAAAAGTTTCAAGGGCTAACTGTGGTGGCTTCATGATTCAAGGCTACTTCTCATAAGAGGTTGGTCACAGAAATATGGTTGGGGTAGACACCAAGGCCTTAAAGAGGATTGCTTTCTTAGAGAAGTTCATTGTTTTTAGTCTCTCTTAATACCCGAGATTGGTTGAGAAGTTCTCAAAGGATTCAATGGGGAAATGCAAAGAAGCTTGAAGCCAATTATTTATTTCTGTCTAGTAGATGTTTCAACTTTTTGTGATTTTACTCATGGCCTAGAATGCCTTGCCCAGAAAAGGACTCTACAGGATGATGGTAGAGTATTGAGCCTCTGATGCAAGATGCTCCTCATGTAGCATCTTTCCCACGAGTCCTTATCTCCGCAATATATAAACCTAATTTAATTGTTCACTTTCAGGTTGTGAAAATTAAATTTCAGATTATGAAGATTTAGGGAAAAGAAAACAGTGCCTGGTACTGAATGAATAAACGAACTGTCAGACCCTCATTTATCACTGGCTTTGAGTGACATTTCAGTAGATCTCCAACATCATTTTAACTGGTTTTACAAAACTCGGTATCTTCTGCAACAGCTACAATTTCATTTTGCAATCAGTTTGCACCTTCCTCACACAGCTTATTTACATCTGTCAATCGCTGAGTCTCAAAACTTTCTAAATGGATAGACAGGCAGCTGAAGAGGGAGGAATACTGGAATAACTAATGGTGTAAGTGGCCAATTCTTTAGTATCTTTTTTTCCTTAAAGATTTTTTATTGATTTTTAGAGAGAGAGGAAGGGAGAAGGAGAGGGAGAGAGAGAGAAACATTAATGTGAGATTGAAACATTGATCTGCTGCCTCCTGCACGCCTCCTACCGGGGATCAAACCCACAACTGGGGCATGTGCCCTGACTAGGAATGGAACTGGCAACCTCTTGGTGCATGGGATGATGCCCAACCAACTAAGCCACATGGGCCAGGGTGACCTATTCATTAATATTTTCATATGATGACAACTTTTGCTCCCCTGTACAACCCTCTGACTGGGACTGTGGGGACTCTAATCTCACCATACACTTCCTTTGGCTTTAGTCATGGGTAGCCCTAATTTTATAGAGCATCTCAGACAAGTAAACCAATTTTCAGTTGTCAGCATTTTGAGAAGTTCTGAAACACGAGTATTAATTAGTTCATATGTTGAAAGGAGGTTGTGCAAACTACTGTCAGCATCCCATCCAGCACAGTGGCAAAATCAACCCATACCTTCCCCGTGTCCATCATTCTCACCGTCACAGAAACCTAGTGGGAAAGAAGAAAAAATATTTTTATGTGGTGCTTTCATTTTTGTTTATTCATAAATTAGTCTCTCTTTCTGATTTGAAATAGAATTTTAAAAATTCTAACAATTTTGATACATTTATTGATGTTTATCTAAGGTACATTAGCATTTATGCTAACATTAAGATAGATATGATAATTTAGGTCTAAAGTTGATTTCTATATACTTTTCTTTTTGTTAATCCTTACCTGAGGATATTTTTCCATTGATTTTTTTTTTTGTTCAGGTAGAGTGGGAGGGAGAGAGAGAGAGAGAATCATCGATGTGAAAGGGACACATCGAGTGGCTGCCACCTGCACGACCGACCAGGGCCGGGGTCAAACTGCAACCGAGGTACATGCCCTTAGTGGGAACCGAACCCGGGTCTCTCAGGACCGCAGGCCGACACTCTAACCGCTGAGCCAAACCGGCCAGGGCTCCATTGATTTTTTTAAGATAGAGTAGAAGGAAGGGAGGGGGAAAGAGAGAAACATCAATGTGAGAGAGACACATCAATTGGTTGCCTCCCGCATGACCCCGATGGGGGCTGAGCATCAAACCTGAAACCCAGGTAGTTGCCCTTAACTGGGAATTGAACCCACAACCCTTTGGTCTCTGGGCTGATACTCTAACCGCTGAGCCAAACCAGCCAGGGCCTATCGACTTTTTTCTCCTTTAAAATGATCTCACTCTTAAGTTATTTTACTGCCTCTGTCCTGAAAGAAGAACAATTTACAAAATCTGAAAACCTCTATTCAGCTTACAAAGTAAAGAAGTATGGATTGAAACCTCTTCCAAATGCTCTATCATGGGGAAGGGCAGGTTACTCCGAAAGCCAACCCCGCTGCTCACACTTACATGAGGGCCTAGAGGAGCAAACTGGAAGTTCCATGCTGTCTGTTGTCACACATACATATATTTTTTGCAAAGAGTCAAGTTACTTTCTTCTTTTTTTTTTTTTATCCTCACCCGAGGACATTTTCTATTTTTTGTTCAGATAAAGTAGGAGGGAGAGAGAGGAAGAGAGAGAGAGAGAAACATCGATGTGAAAGGGACACATCGAGTGGCTGCCACCCACATGACCAACCAGAGCCGGGGACAAACTGCAACCGAGGTACGTGCCCTTACGGGAACCGAACCCAGGTCTCTCTGGACTGCAGGCCGAAGCTCTAACTGCTGAGCCAAACCAGCCAGGGCTCAAGTTACTTTTTAAAAATAATTTATCTGAAGTCACAATCATTTTATTTTAAGATTTTTCTGTATTGATTTTAGAAAGAGAGGAATGGAGAAGGAGATAGACAGAGACATCAATGAGAGAGAACATCCGATTGGGCACCTCCTGCATGCCCCCCACTGGGGATGGGGCCCACAATCTGGGTATGTGCCCTGACTGGGAATCGAACCGGTGACCTCTTGGTGCACGGGTCGACGCTCAACCATTGAGCCACACCAGCTGGGCATTCACAGTCATTTTAAATAGTATATGTGACAGCTATACACAGAAATTTAAAATTTTGAGTTTGAATAAATTATGGCTAAATAAAATATTTTTAATCCATAAAATATATTGCTACTGACAAGTACAGTTGGAGCATCGGCCTGCGGTCCAGAGAGACCCGGGTTCGGTTCCTGTAGGGGCACGTACCTCGGTTGCAGTTTGTCCCCGGCCCTGGTTGGTCGTGCGGGTGGCAGCCACTCGATGTGTCCCTTCACGTCTATGTTTCTCTCTCTCTCTCTTCCTCCTGCTCTGTCTGAACAAAAAATGGAAAAATGTCCTCGGGTGAGGATAAAAAAAAAAAAAAAAAAGTTTTGGTATGTTTTGGGTAAGTTTAGTCTGTAAGTTAACCTGATTAGTCTGTAACAATTTAAACGAAATATCTGACAATTACTCACTCAATATATATTAAATTCCTCCACTAAATACTAGATGTGGCCGGGTGACAGAGTACAGGGAAGAAGATCGATCATGGAAGCAAATTCTATAACACAGCCGGAAGGAAACACATTTTAGTGGAGCCCGGGGCCTGGGCAACGCTAAGTGTCGCCAGGAGCAGGAAGAGTTCGACAAACTGAGCACACTCATAAAGACAGAATTTCTTTTAGGAATGGTAGGAAATGAGCTACAGAGACAAGATGCCTAACTCCACAGTCGGCACTGTTACAAGAAGAGAGAAGCTTCTTACTTATATTTTGGCTTCCCTGTGGCCCTCATATTATGCAAGGGCAGGGAACTTGACCATTCTGATCACTAAAAAGTGATAGCCCAATTACAAATAAAAAGTCTAGTTTTATACAGGAATCTGGTACTGCTTTTCTTTCCCATCAAGACTCCAGTCACTCTGGGTTTAATTAACAAGGCTGACCTGTCCCTGCAACATGAGGACTCAACTAAGAGCTACCCTGTGAAACAGCCGGAGTGGTGAGCAGACACTCTACATAACAGGCCTTTAGTGTCACCACCCTCTCCATCAGACTGGAACAGAAGGCTTCACAGAGGAGGTGGCGCCTGAGTTAGACACTGAGGATAACGATGAGGATGATAATAACAATCGCTAACATTACTGTCCGCTTATACGTACTAGGCCTTTACACAGATAACTTCACGTCATCCTCATAGCAACTCTATGAGGTAGGTACTAACCTCCAAGATCACATGCTAATTAAGTTCAGGACTAGAGCTCTGACCTGTGCGCCTTCAGAATGACCATCACGCTGCATCTGAGGATTCAGACACGTCGGAGTGAGGTGGAAAGGGATATGCCAGTGTGGAGACAGGAGGAGTCACAGCACAGGGTGGGAGGGAGGGGAGCTGAGGCTTCACTGAAAGAGTATGCCAGTAAGCTGGCATGATGCAGGAAATACAAGGTCTCAGAGCAGTGGCATGATTCAACTAAGCTTTAGAGAGATTGTTCTGACAGCAGTGTGAGAAGGATTGAAAGGAGGAAGCCTAAAGGCAGGGAAATTGGGTGGAAACCAATAGAAGAGTCCAGGCCAAAACCAGGAAGTGGGGACAGAAAGGGAGGGTAGGTTGAGGCACCACATAGGTAGACTGAGAGGAACTTGTCTACTGAGTCTATCAGGGGTGGGAATGAGAATATTCAAGACAACACCCAGATTTTGAATTTAGGTGCCCAGAAAGATGGTGGTAGCAATAACTGATATGTTAGCAGCAAGCTAACATATGACCAAAACATGCAAGCCAGGATTTTTACTACTGGATAAAAATATCATAGGAGACAAGTGTAAATAAAGGGTTACAAATAAAAAGGAACAAGTTGTGACTGTATCTCTGGAAAGAGAGGACACACTTGCATCAGTCCCACAGGGGATGGCACAGCAGGGACCAAGGCTGCATCTGTGTTCCAGACCTCATGTTCTCAGAGCCACTGAGGTGACCTCCTCAGCGTAATGGAGTCCACGTCCCCTCTCCCGGCTCTCATGCCTGATGAATCTAAAATAACTCCCAGCACAGTCAAGTCACTGAGTAGAGGAGCAGCAAGAGGTGGATCCTTTCACCAGACTGGGCCCTTTAAGAAGCTTCTAGGGCTTCGGCCTCCTCATTCTGGGCCCTCCTGCCATCTAGGTGACACTTTTTGCCCCTCTTTATGATCTGGGATGCTGTGCCTGTCCCTTCTCCCTCCTGTGTCATGAATAGGTTCACTTCTTTCAGGGTTATTTGTATTTTAAAACTTTCCCCTAACTATGCAGATCAAAGCATATTGCCTGTTGAATGGTCAATGACATCTGAGCGTCTACCTGTCTCAGAGGAGGAGCTCAGGGCTGTGGTCCCCAAAGTTGGCCATGCTCAGCTCCTAGAGCTCGGGGTGCAGAAAAGACAACTACCTTGCACGCTTTGGCCCTTGGCTCTAAGACTGCTCTCTGAAAGGATGCGCACCCCAGCCCTCCTCCACAGGCTAGCCATGAGCCGAGGAGAGTGAAGGGACAGTTCTAGGCTTTGGGACAGGGCAAGTGTCACAGAGAGCCCTCAACTGTCTCTGTGTGTATGTGTGTGAAATGATCATTAAACTGCACAGGCTGCCAGGGAAAGGATCAACATTTCTCTTTATAGATTCTGGATAATTAAACATGAGAGGAAATATAAAAATCTTGTTTGGTTGTATAAAAGTTTATTTCTGCCATTTATATCAACTGCTTATTACTTATACCTAACTGTCATGACCATCATGAAAATTACTACACATGTATCAGAATAATGGCTTTATTTTCTTGGGACACAAACTTCTGCTCATGAATGTATCCAGGCTTATTGCTCATGTAGTTAAGCTATGAGCAGATGCTCCTTTATCATCCACTCACAACAACAACAACAAAAATGAGTGGGAACATTAATTGATGCTACATCATTATGCTCAGGAAAGATTCCCAGGGACAGAGCAGTAAGTTAATGCTATGAAGCCCAATTCTGGGCTCCAATTACATTTTCCCATCACTTGTTTAATCTTTATTTGGTTGGTCCTATAATAAGAAATACCTTTTTGCAAAGCTAGTTGATATTTTTAAAATCGAAAAGGAAAGGAAAATGAAAAACTTTAATGAATTACAGGGGGAAAATGCATGAAACTATTTAAAATAGCTCCCACCAGCAAATATAATTCTCCAGAAATAATTCCCATCCTTGGAGACTTGAATAATATTTTAAACACACTGGCTTTCCCATGTAAACACATCCATATTTGGATGTGTTTCTGAGTTCTGCGATACTTGCAAGGCAACTGCAGAAGCAGCGACATGGTTTAGACATTCAAGCTGGAGGGCAGCCCACCCTCCACGACTGTCAGATACTGTGGCCCCACAATGTTTAACTGCTGAGGTGACAAGGAGCACCCACTGTGATTCTCAAGTCAACCCAGGAAGTCTGCTCTAGGAGGTCTTTCTCTGCTTTTCCTCATCTAGTAGGATCAACACTTACATTTTTTGTGTCTCATGATTCATCCTCACACCTTCTGACATTTCTTTTCCCTCTGAGGCTACATCACTCTTAGCATACATACTTCACTCAATTAATCACTTTCTTTAGTTACCTTCTTTTTTTTTTTTTATCCTCACCCGAGGACATTTTTTCATTTTTTGTTCAGACAGAGTAGGAGCAGAGAGAGGAAGAGAGAGAGAAACATCGACGTGAAAGGTACCCATCGAGTGGCTGCCACCCGCACGACACAACCAGGACCGGGGACAAACTGCAACCGAGGTACATGCCCTTAGCAGGAACTGAACCTGGGTCTCTCCGGACCACAGGCCAACACTAACCGCTGAGCCAAACCGGCCAGGGCTTTAGTTACTTTCTTTTCTCTTTGAATGTAAGCTTCAAAGCTACTGACTTAAATTACCGATGATTTCCTTGTACTCTCTAGGCCTTTAAGCCATTTTTAGAGTAAATTCTGCCAGAAGGACGAAGTACAGCTCTTTATTCGGGGTTCCAGGGTGAAAACTTACCAGTCTGGTTCCCTCCCAGTCCGGGGAGACCACGACCCTACTGCCGTCACCAGGCCCCACGGATCGCAGTCTCTACTTCTGCCGGGCTGTCAGCATCTTCCCACCTTACCTACCCTGAGCTGAACGGCTCCACCTCCCCAGGTTTTCCACTTCTCTGGCCTACACCTGATTCCAACATTACTGGCAGCTTTGCTCTTCTCTCCCCACGTATGGAAACACGGCTCGGCGGCCTTACTCGATTCTAAAAAATCTCACACTTCACAAGCAAGCAACCGTTTAGGCAAATGTAGTCATCTCTGAATTGCACCAGGGGAACAAATGTAGCAACAATTATTATTGAATTCTATCCCTACTATGTGCAAGAAAATAAGACCTAGAATGTTCTCCTTGGGAAGAACAGACTATTTAGGCTTTAAGTTGTCTAAAAAGTAAAGAAACCAGAAAAGCTGGGGTTATCTTGGCTAAAGATTTATTCTCCTGTTTCAAGACCAAGCACACAATCCTTCCTGTTTGTGCACAAGAGTCCATCTGGAATACTGACTGGCATATGGAACGAATAATTCAAAGCCACTGTACCTCTACATTAAAAACCCAGACAGGCAGGCTTGGAGTGTGTCTTAGTGAGCAGGCCTTGTCTCGTGTACAGGCTAGATGCTGGCGAGTGCTCTGCACACGCAGCCACTGTGTAGTTTCCCCACACTTCCCCATCACTGAGGGCTCCTCTGGTCAGGCACAGAGCCGGAGGTAAGACCACTAAGATGCCGACTTCAAGAAATCTACTCTGAGCACAAAGAGTGACACAGGTGCCCACACAGCCATCTGCATGTAGCTGCTCTGGGATCTTAGGAGGACATGGGTAGTTCTGGGCTGGCAATGAGAGGAAGGTCAAGGATGGCTACATGGAAATGGTGACAAAGCGGAGGGTGCTGATCAGGTGGGTCAGGAGTGAGGTAAGAGAGGAAAGATGGGAACAGAATGAAACACTAATAGAACCCAATGTGGTTCTCATGGCTGACTTGGGGAGTGAGGCTGATGGGGAGGAGAGAGGGAAGAGAAGTGGAGGGCAAGGGTCCTGGAGCTCCTGTCATTCTGGACAGAGACTGGGATTTTCTCCTGGGGGGGGGGGGTAGCACAGAGGGTTGTAATCAGGAGATGAATATGATCAGGTTTGAGTTCACTCTGGAAGAAGATGCTTTACTCACTCTGGTCCATGGGAGGCAGAACAATGGTCTACCCAGCAAACTGGGAACAACTGAGCAGGCGATGCCCACTCCAGCTCGGCCCCTCTTCTCAGGGCATGCCTTCTCTGCTCCGCCTGCCCTTCAGCCTGATCGCAGCCCTCCCATGGCGGCTGACCTGTCCAGTGCTGCTGGTCATCATAATAGGCATGGACCCACAGAGAGAATCTACGACCTCTGGTCATTAATAAAGATGATATTTAGTCTGGCCAGTGTGGCTCAGTGGACTGAGCGATGTCCCCTGGACTGAGAGGTCCTGGTTCCATCCCCAGTCAGGGCACATGCCCAGGTTGCGGGCTCAATCCCCACTAGGGGGCGTGCAGGAGGCAGACGATCAATGTTTCTCTCTCACATAGCTATTTCTGTCTCCCTTCCTCTCTCTCCAAAAAAACAATAAAAACATTTTTAAAAATGATATTTAGCTCCATCTGTCACTTCTGATTTTATTTGTTTGTTCAGATCCTAGATGAGAAAAGAGGACCTTCAGAGAAATCACATAAAACTGGATTAGAAATTTATAGGACTGGAAATAAAGAGACCAGTTAGAAAGTTACAATGAGTCCAGATGAAAATGACGAGTGCGTTGGGGAAAAAAGGAAACTTGAGGGCCAAAAGATGCCAAGGAGGGAGAATCTGCCAAGGAGAGGCAGGAACAAAGTATGTGACCTCGTAAGCTCCATTCTCATTTCACCATGAACACATACACTTTTCCCGCACTGAGCTGGAGAAGTGCACACACCGTGTAAGATCAGACAGAAAGCACAGCCGTTGTTGGCAGGGGGCCCGTGTGTCTTACCCATGTATGCAGCCGGCCAGGCCGACTGGCCCCCTCCTCCATAGGGGTCCTGGGGCTTGGTGCTCAGAGCACTTGTGTGAAGAGCAGAATCAGAATTGGTCCTAAGGGGAAAAGAGAGTCTGGCTGAAAATCCATTTTTCCTTAGTGAAAATGCAATATTCCTCACTGAAAATTACCAACAGGAGAGAAAGTAAGGATAATTATTTACAATAATCCATAAAATGAGGGATTTGGACTTACCTGAAGTACTTTACGTCAATAACAGCCCCTGAGGGTCATCCACACCCAACATGACTTTAATTTGTACTCGCGTAGCTTTACACCTTGAAGCTGATGGCACAGCATGATGATCTATTTTAAACAAGGCCTCGGACGTGTGGCTTCCTCTAGACCTGCCCATCCTTCCTCCACTGAGAGTAACTCCCCCTGTATGAAGGATCATCTATAGCAGCAGTTCTCAAATCCTTTCAGGAAGAGTGCAAGTCAAGATGGCTTTTATTTACTTATTTATTTATATTTGTCTTTATTGATTTTTTTTTAGAGAGAGGAAGGAAGAGAGATAGAAACATTGATGTGAGAGAGCCACATCAATTGGCTGCACACCCCCTACTGGGGATTGAGCTCACAACCGGGGCATGTGCCCTGACCGGGAATCGAACCGGGACCTCTCAGTCCATGGGACGACGCTCAATCCACTGAGCCACACAGGCTGGGCAAGATGACTTTTAGTTACTACTAAAATGTTCTTTGCCCTTTCACTCATTCTCTGATGAGCACAGTGGAGTCTGACAGAAGCTATGTGACATGTGAAGTCACCACAGACTGAATGCATAAGCAGAGAACCCAGTAGAGAATTGTCAAGAGGATGGATAACAATGCCACTCTTTTCAATAAATTTGTTTTGGAAAATGTAACTCCGTTTCTTAAAAAACATCTATGTTAACATGCAATGGGTTTATTATTTTTATTTTGCTATTCTAAAATTCATTAATAGGTAACGTTTAAAAAGCTCTCTAATTTCTAATATCAATAGACAAATACCAATAGATACACCCACATAAACAGAAACTTCAGGGTCTCAATAGTGTTTAAGGTGGTAAAGGAGCCCTAAGACAAAAAGCTCAGGAACCACTGATCTATAGCATATTTCTGAAATTCCCCCAGACAGCTCCCATTTCTAAACAGCCTCGATTCCAAGAGATGATTATTGTTTCGAGCAAGGTCGAACTGTCTGCCATAAAAAGAACTGTGGACTTCAAATCAGCCTAAAATGCTTTTGTGTGGTCTGTTCCAGGCAATAGCCTCGTGTGGTCTCACTCCATGTGGCTGTGTTGTGTTCAGACCTGGGAGAAGCAGTTCAGAACTTGCGTGTTGCAACAGGAAGAGCATGGACTCTGGGATCAGAGAGCCCTGGGTTCAGATCCAGCTCCATTAGAGTCAAAGAGACTCAAAAGAAGATAAGATGCAGAGAGACAATGAGGAAATTTTTTTTTTCTTTTTGAAGATCTAATTGGCTTTATTAAGTGATTCATGCATCGGGCAGCATCTCATCTAGCAGCTAGAGGAGCACTCCCTGGGAAAATTTAAATATAGACCAGTATTAGATAATATTAATGAGTTATTAATTTGTTAAGTATAATAATGGAATTGTGATGATGATTATTATTATTTTTGGTACGTGCCCCTAGTGGGAACTGAACCCATGACTCTCTAGTCTGCAGGCCGCCGCTCCAACCACTGAGCCAAACCGGGCCAGGGCTGATTATGGTTTTTTTTTTTAAAAGGTTCTTATCAGCCTTACACTGTCAGATATATACAGGTGAGAGACTATCTAGCCAGCAGTAGAGGGTGGGGGTAGAGAAGAAACAAGCCTAGAGGAATGCTAAGGACCGAGGCTGAGAGATGAGCACAAAGGACTTCTTATAAATCTTTTCCTTTTGTGTAGGTTTAAAATTTAGCATTATAAAAAGGTTTTTTTACATCCCAGTTTCATCACATATTAGCTAAGTGGTCTTGGACAAGTCATTAATCTCTTCTAACAGAAATAAAAACCTCATTCTTATAGGATGTCATCAGGATTAAAAGGACTATTCAGAACACTGACCACTGGAGCCTGTCCCAAAGTGAGCATAACAATAGTTAACGTGCCCTGGCCAGTTTGGCTCAGCAGTTAGAGGGACGGCCCGTGGACCAGAGAGTTTCGGGTTTGGTTCCTGCTAAGGGCAGGTACCTCAGGTGCAGTTTGTCCCCGGCCCTGGTTGGCGTTGTGCGGGTGGCAACCACTCGATGTGTCTCTCTCACATTGATGTTTCTCTCTCTCTTCCTCCCACTCTATCTGAAGATAAATGCAAAAATGCCCTCGGGTGAGGATAAAAGAAAACAAAACACAATAGTTAACATTTGTTGAATACTTATTATCTTATTTCATCTTCACAACCATCCCTTGGTGTAGGTACCATTATCTCCCTTTTCCAAATGAGTCAGCTGAGGCACAGAGATGTTAAACAGCTTGTTCAAGGTCACATAGGCAAATCCTGTAGTCCCACCCCAGACCTCATATTCTTATACTGTATTATTCTGTCCTCTGCGGACAGAATTTAATAAATGGTAAGGGGTTTGAGGTTTGTTTTCTTAACACTTCATATAAATACAACTGGTATGAATTGGCAACTAGATAATATGTAAAAAACATCAGGGCAATCAAATGAATTGGTCATCTTTAAAAGTTATTTCTACTAGGAAATGATGCATGTACCTGTTAAGTGCAGATGTCAGCCTGAACCCAGGATGCTTTTCGTCTTTCCAAGGAGGCTGCTGCCTTTAAAAACCAGAATAACAAAAAGAAAAGGAGTTCAATCCACAAAAAGCAAAGCAGAGACTCAGACTCGGGTCTGAGAACTGGATCTCCCATTCACTTAGCTGTACAACCTGAAGAAAGTCACTTCAAAATGCTCTTGTTGCTTGTCATTGTGAAAATGAGGTCAGACCGAATGATCTCTCCAGTTCCTATGATTTCTGATTTTCTATGCTAAAAACTACCCCAAATCCACGAGAAAGGGATTAGCTAGCTGGGCATATAAGGAGTTTAAAGAAGGGGTGGGGCAAACAAGCACCTCTGAATAACTTTTAAGATAGTTTAAATCTATGACGATTCCTCTGGAGAGGACATGAGGCCTCACTCCAGATATGTAAAAATCATCCCTCCTCACACTCAGTGTGTGTGTAGCAGGTGTGGTGGCAATCCTGGGCGTAAAAACTTTGCATTCCCATACAGATGGTCATGAAGAGCAATGTAACTGTTACCGTTATCCAGTTTATGAAAATATTAATCTAATCCTAGTGCTCTGGAAAGCGTAACACGTTTTTTTATTGGATATAAGTTTTAAGATATCTGTTTGGACATACCTTTTTATGATTTAAAATACTGTATTTATCCTACAACGTGGGTCCCAGGATTCTTGAGGGTAGTTGAAAACTAACTACCTGAGGTAGGGTCAGCTGTTGCCCACCTTCATACGGACCATTCCCAAGTCCTGCCCACATGATCCACAGTAAGTGCTTGGTTAGTATGTGCCCAGAGAATGGATGAAGAATAAACTTCAACCCAGAGAGCTAAGTGTTTTCAATATGTACATTTCAAATATGTACACACACAGTGGATGTAGCAGCCTTTTCAGTTAATTTTACATTCTGTTATCCTCTATTCTGAAAAACATTCATTTTAGGGGGAGGTATGTATCCTTTATATACCAAAATATTCAGAGACCCTAAATCAAATCCACTGAGCAAATTACTATTTTAGGAACTTACTAAAGCTTATGTTGCTTCCCATAGCTTCCTAACACCCCGAGGACGGGCGTTTACTTTTCCATGCCTCGAATACAAGAATAACAAGTCAGAGTATTCTATTGGTAAATGTATTCCAAACGTGTTTCTACTTGGTTTTAAAAGTGAAGATCTAGCTGTATTTAAATAACTTTTCATTTTAGACTTTCATATAAGCCTATGATTATACATGAAAAGATATAAATTTTATAAAAGCAAACAAGATTCTATGCTTTATATTAGAAATTTCTAAAACAGCACTCAAGCTAGATAAAATAAAGTGAAAGCACCCAAAAATAACACATGCCCATCATATCTTTAAAACAGGGTTGCTTACCTTGGCCAGCTCTCATCCAGGGGCTGTGAGGAGTAATTGGCTCCAAAAGTGCTACCATCAAAGTAGAATTTTTAATAAAGGAAAAATAAACTTAATGAAAAGGTGAAGCAGAATTAAGACACTGGAATTATGGAGAGTTAAACAACTGAGGTTTGGCTCTTATCTTCATCTCTACACCCACTTGCTCTTCCTCAGGCTTTCTCTTATCAACTTCCTCTGTAGAGTCCATTCCTCTATCTTCTAACCAGGGCCGTCTCTGCATGATTCATGTGGGGTATTTATTTCTTATGCCAGCCCAGCAGCTTTGGTTTTTAAGAACTCCCTCCACCCCCACCCCAAACCTGGTAAGGCTGCCATTCTGGGCAGGTCTCCCTGTCCCAGGCCCCGTGTTTCCAATCAGGCACCTTACTCTACTGGAAAAAGCACCGGTTGAGGGATGAGCCTGTGACACAAACAGGACCAAAGAGTGCTTCTGAGGGAAGAAAAAGGAGTTCCCCAGTTCAGGTGGCGAAAGCCTATCTACACAGGACATCAACACAGAGGTGGCACTTCACAGATACAGTCTCAGTGCTGTTGCATGAACCCCAGGATCTAGCCTTTGGGTGACATAAGCCAATACATTTCATTTCTTAAGTTAAGGAGGATTCCTGTTACTTATAACCAAAAGAGAAGTGCATTAGATTGTGAAGAAATGTAAACTTCCTTATGTGGTCAGGGGCTCTGTTTCATAAACTCTAAGTTCTTCAGTGGGCCTCGCATGCCTTGAAACATGTTCCAGATGTGTGGAGAAACACACATGCTCCTGCACTATGCACGTGAAGTGCTGCATAGAAATTTTGGTTAATTTAGTTAACTATACCCAAAGAATAGTTTTCTAAAACACATTTAATCATATTCTTCTCCTGCTAAAAAAATCATCAACAATTCTCTATAAAAGAAGCCATGATGCTTTGAACTCGGGAAAAAATGGGACCCTTGATGGAGAAGGGACCGACATGCAGGCTAGCCTGGGCGTCTCCGGTGAGCACAGAATCGGGCATTAGTAAAATGTGGGCACTAAACCAGTAAATTCGATGATTTAGTGTAAAATATTTCCTTTGCCAGGAGAAGCATGATGATGACAAGTTTTACTTTGTGTATTAGTTTTGTCATGTCTAGTTACCTTATTTCTTAATCTGAATCTTAATCTGAGTCAATAAAGTAAAAAAGATTTTTCAAAAGAGAGACAGTTCTTCAACATTAACTATTAGGCTCAATTCTATGAAGGACAGATCAGAAGAAACCACAGGAGGAGACAGAGGAGGAAATGGTGGTGAAGAAATAAGAAGGCCCTCTAAGAGTTGGGTCAGCATTTTAGTCGGAAGAGCCATTAGGCAGCAGCTCCTGAACCTTATAACCTGTGGTTATCTGTCTTTCCCTTTTCTTTAGAGTTTGATGAGTATCTGTCCAGAAAAGCTTCATTTCATGAAGCAGAAGTTAACTACTTCTCTCAGCACCCTGCCATCCTTGAAGTCACTAATTATCCAGTCCTGGTAATCCAAATCAAAATGCAGTGGTATAATAGTAATATAATCATCAAACACTGACTATTTCAATGTTGAGGTATAGTCAGCATTCCAGCCTATCGGATACTAATGTCAGTCTGTTGTGTTTAATGAGGGGCACCATCCACCTCGGTGCTTCAGTTGTGAACCTCAGAGCCGCCCTAGTCTGTTCTCTCTCCCGTCTCTGCAGTCCTAGAGAGGAAAACTCCTCTCATGTTCCTGCTTCAATCCATCCACAACGGGACTCCTACTCCTTCCCTGCTCAGGAGTGTCAGAGGGAAGGTTCTTACTCATTCTTCCCCAAAGGAAGGGGAGTAGCTCTTCTGTTGATAAGAGAAGACATCTGTTGGACTATTCTCACGTGGGTGGGGCCACTGAGCCACAGAAGCTCCAAACAAGTTCCACCCTGTCTTTTTTGTGCTGCTCGCCCGGTGGCTGGTGAGCAGAGCAGGGTTCTTCTTTTGGCTTCCTGTTTCCATGTGGTAAGTGCACCTGGGACAGGGCTCAGGAACTGCCCTCCGGAGGCAGCCTGGGCTGCCATTTTCTCTCCTACCCTCTGGAACTCGGTTCTACCAGGGACAGAGTTTGGGGGGGGGGGCAGGCCTGTGACCTTAGATGCAGCTGGTGGGATAAGTGAACCTGGAGTCTGCTTAACCAAACCCACCTACAAAGATGAGTTCCAGGTCAGGTTTAACATATAAAACTGCCCTGGCCAGTTTGGCTCAGCGGTTAGAGTGTTGGCCTGTGGTCCAGAGAGACCTGGGTTCGGTTCCCACTAAGGGCACATACCTCGGTTGCAGTTTATCCCCAGCCCTAGTTGGGTCATGCAGGAGGTAGCCACTCAATGTGTTCCTTTCACGTCGATGTTTCTCTCTCTCTCTTCCTCTCTCCCTCCCACTCTACCTGAACAAAAAATGGAAAAATGTCCTCAGGTGAGGATAAAAAATATATATGTATGCATGCATGCATGCGTGTGTGTGTGTGTGTGTGTATTAAAAAACTGGTCACGCCCTGGCCAGTTTGGCTCAGCGGTTCAAGTGTCGGCCTGCGGTCCTGAGAGACCCGGGTTCGGTTCCCGCTAAGGGCATGTACCTCGGTTGCAGTTTGTCCCCGGCCCTGGTTGGTCGTGAGGGTGGCAGCCACTCGATGTGTCCCTTTCACGTCGATGTTTCTCTCTCTCTCTCTCTTCCTCTCTCTCCCTCCCACTCTATCTGTACAGAAAATGGAAAAATGTCCTCGGGTGAGGATAAAAAAAACAAACAAACAAAAAAAACTGGTCACAATTTGGGTCCTTCCTAATTTCTCAACCATGTCTTCACCATCACTCTACTTCTTCTTGTCCTTTGACCTCCTACTCTGTCCTGCAGAACACATCTGAGAGTCAAATGCTAAGGAAGGTATGTGAGTGGCATCTTTCTGAGTCTTTGCATAAGAACATCATTCTGTTTCTCTTAGCCCACGAGTGACAAAAAGGTGGCACATAGAATTTTGAAGTCTGAATATTTTCCCTTAAAACTCTAAAAACCAGCATTTCCTTGTCCTTTGAGGTGAAAATCTCTAATGGGTGTAAGGTAAAACTGGATTTTGTTATCAAATAAATTTTGGAAACCCTGGGTTAAAGAAGGAAGTTTCTTAACTGCAGGGCTTCTAGAGTCCTAGTATTAACTGAGAAGCTCCAAGGAGAGCACAGTGTTTCTCAAATGTAACAGACTATGCACTTCAAAGAAACAGTGTTCTATAAGCCACTGTCCTAAAATTCTCATCTCATTGTATGAAAAGAATCAAACCAAAGCCTATTCCAAAGAAGAGAGCCATCCCAACTGGCAGGTCTTAAGGCATCTCTTCACGGCTGTTCACACTAGTTAAGATGCGTATAGTCTCAAATCTTCTTGGGAATATAAATCAGAAATGTTCTAAACATCTGTTTTTCTCTTTCTAAAAGCACATCTCTTTTAGAGGAAGGCATTCTCTACGATTCACCAATGTTTCCCCTTCGTCTTCAATTTACTACTCATAGGTCTGAGATACTATTAAATGTGCTGGAATACTATGTTAATAGTTCAGAAATTTAACAAGATGATGTTTGGGGTACATACTTGCTGCTCATGAGGAGTGAGGAGAGAGCTGCTGAAGATATGAGCAGCTGCAGGACGTTCCTATCTTTCTGTAGATTCCCGCCTGCAGGTTCCCGCCAGTGACCAGGCAGTACCTCTCCTCTGACTTGAGTGTGGCCCCAGGCCAGAAGCCTGCTGGGCAATGCCCTGGTCTAGGCTTGTGGTGTCCACTCATGCCAACAGCCAAGCTCACTGCACCAGCCTCCTCTGTGGAGATGGCCGCCCACCGCAGGAGGAATCTCCCTGGGCCAGAGCTCTGCTTGTGTGGCTGCCCACTCTAGGAGGAAGCTGGAATATTTGTTAAACAATGTTCACTTCATTTAAGATCACCATATCATATCTATTTTAGAAAGGCCAGTTTGCCCATTCTAAAATGACACCCAGCCAAGAAACAGCTGTAATGAGAATTCTGAATATAGTTTTTCTTTCTGTTCTAATGATTCAAACCAGTGTTAATACTTTCAGATGATAAGACTTCATTAAGGAGGTAATAGACAAGTGTGAAGGCAACCATTTTAAGCAAATTCTTTTAAAATCAAATGATTACAGCCCACTAAAGGAAGGATGGAATCACGGCCCCTTCCTCCAGGTTCTCCTGACTGTATTAATATCTTCGGCATAAGATCATCTCACTTTTATATTTAACTGGAGTTCACAGTCCCTTGATTCCTCAAAAGAGACTCACTGTTCATTAGTGGGTAGTTAAAGAACATTTTTGGAATCAGATGTCCAATCCCAGGACCCCAGTTAGGTGGTTAAGAAGAGAATCTAGAGACGTTTCATGATCTGTGAATGAGACTTGTATTATTTGCTTAATAACTTTCACTGAGCTGTATACTAATTGAGTTTCTGCTTTTTCTCCCCTTAGTAGTTCATCTGCTTTGTTGCTGCTCTCACAAGCTTCCCCACGTACAGGGTCAAGTGCTACCCTGTGATGTATCACCTGAAAAAAGACAAAGTCCTCTAAACACGCAGCATAGCTTCCCCTTCTGGGACTCTGTACAAGTTATTCCCTCTGCCTGAAACATTCCCTTCCCAGCTATCTTTCTCTCTATATATCACTTACGACCATCTGAAATTATTTTCTTAATAATTTTTTTTGCCCTGGTCGGTTTGGCTCAGCGGTTAGAGCATCGGCCTGTGGTCCTGAGAGACCCAGGTTCGGTTCCCGCTAAGGGCACGTACCTCGGTTGCAGTTTGTCCCCGGCCCTGGTTGGTCGTGCGGGTGGCAGCCACTCGATGTGTTCCTTTCATGTCGATGTTTCTCTCTCTCTCTCTGTTCCTCTCTCTCCCTCCCACTCTACCTGAACAAAAAATGGAAAAATGTCCTCGGGTGAGGATAAAAATAATAATAATAATAATAATAATAATAATAATAATTTTTTTTTACCTGTTTGCTGTGTATCATCTCCCACAGGATTATACACTCAAGAAGGTAGGGGAATGTCTGTCTTATTCACCACTGAGTCCCCAGTGCTTAGAACAGAGTAGAAGCTCTGTACATATTTGTTGGATAAATAAACACATTATCCTCTTACTTCTTACTTATCCTTCAAGCCTCAACTTTTCCTCCAGGATGCCTTCTCCATCCCCCCAAGACTGTTTCAAGCTGCCCCTCTGAGCTTCAGCTATAGCTCACAGCACTGTGCTATGACCACTGCCTTGCCTAGCTGCCGTCTCTCATGGAACTGTAAGCAACTTGAGGATAGGAACCATATTATGTTTGCCATAATAGCAGCAGTGTCTACAATGGTGCCTGACACGAGCAGATACTTAAATCGTTAAATGAATGAACATTCCTCTCTGTGGCTTTTCTTCAATCCCCTCTTCTGAGTTATTCCTTTGGTTATAACAGCTGTATGTGTACATATTTAGACTATACTTGCTGCAAAAAGGATCTGAGATAACTACACACACGAACACACATACATGAACAATACTTAGAGAAAACACCTGAATAGAAAGAGGAAAATTAGAAAAAGATATATTGTTAAATCAAGCAAAGAAACACTCAAAGGTTTTTGCTCAAAAATTCCAAGAGATCTGGACAATGGTTTGATGCACTGCTCCACCCCCACACATGTGAATTAGCTGAGGACTGCCTCAATTCCCCTTTCCCGTGTGCATTCTACGTGGTTATTCTGCATTCCAGAAAGGAACCCACAGCATCAGTTGTCATCTTCACTTTCCCTAATAGCCACATAACAACAAAACTAGGAGTCAGAGTACCTCAGTGGGCCGAATGTCATATGTCCCTGGGGGCAAAAGAGAGGAGAGAAATAATGGTCCCCTGGGGAACATCCTTTACTCTGAACAGACAAAAAACTGCAAGAAGCTTGAAGGCAAGAAAAGCAGCAGCTTCCACTGTGCACCCGCACAACTCCTCCCAGGAGCCTCCCTCGCATGTGGTCCTGGGCACGACTGAGTGGACGTGCGTGGTACAGGGAGGGGCCCAGGCTGAGAGTCGGCTGGACCTGGGCTGAACCTGGGCCCCTCCAACCTCAGCAGTGGAATCCTGGGCAAGTAACTTTGGCATTTGGTTTCCTCAGTGTAAAATAGGGGTAAAAAAACAAACTACTCAGTAAGTCTTGAGGACTAAATGACATATAAACTGCCCAGCACAGTGCCTGGCATGGGTAGGTTCTCAGTAAACATGAGTGCCCTTCCCCCCAACTTCCTGGTTTTTAGGCTCCTGAAGCCAATTCTACCATCACTGCCAGGAATTCAGCTCTGAAGTAAGACTCACCCCGCCTCTGTGCCTTCCTCCACCTCGACGTGTGAGGAGTGAAGTGAGAGAGCAGGGCCCTCCTGACATGTTTATTCTATTTCCTCACCCACAAAACCAGCTCGGTCCTGTGCCCTCGGCACAGTGCTTAACGTCCAGCAGTTCATCCTGCTTCGGCCCGATAAGGCCTGTGAAATAAAATTGTCAGATGAGTTCACAATCCCCTTTCTTTATTCCTACTTAACAGCCTAGGAGTGTGCATCACTGTGTAAGAATATTCTTAAATACCAGCTTTACATTTTAGTTGTCATTTACAGAAATCGAAGCTTCATAAATAGAAAATTATAGGAAATTTCGTCTGTAAGTTCTAACAGCGGGTCAGTGGATCAACAAAAGTAAAAAGAAATCACATATCTGTGTATCTGTTTTAACTAGATAACTAAATCTCTTAAAGCTGATTCAAAGTCAGGCTTAACTCTGATGTTACTGATTTTTCAAGAAAATGCAGAGAAATCTTGCAATGGGGCTGAACTACATGTTGTTTATGTTCAGTTACTTCACTGAACTGAACTGTATGAATGTTTTTGTAAACACCTTCAATGATCTTTCCAATGGCTGCAGAGATGTTTCGTTTCCAACTTACTTGTTTTTATTGTCTCCATTCATCAGATAAAATGAAGATTTTTGAGGCCAAAGAGGAATTGCAGAGAAGACAAATCCTGAAAATCTTCCAAATATTTCAAAATGTATGCCCTCCTCAAACAATGATAAAGGATATTTGTCGTCCAGGCTTGTCTCCAGACCTTCGATGAAGGGGGTGGAAGCGAGTCCTGGACGGTCTCTCCACCAGCCCGTGATGGCGCGTTCCCCGCACGCTATCCGCTTGATGAAACGATGGCTGCAGAGAGAAGGGGAGAAGGTTTGGTCTGTGCCCATGAAACTGCCAGTCACTCTCAAGAATAACTGATAACAAAACAAAGTGATTTCATAATTTTACTCTATGACTGTGCCTGAGTCAAGGTAAATAAAATAATGTAGCACACAAAGCCATTTCTATATAGTTAAAGAATAAGTTAAACGGTCTTAGTGTGTTAAGATGAGAGCTGAAAGAACAACATATTACTATAAGTTGTCAAAGTTAAGAGGTGGAGAATTAGAAGATTATGAATTCATACATCAAATCCCAGAAACTAAAAAATACACTTGAAATGTAAAAGATGTAAAATGTAAAATGTAAGACATAAATAAACCGGATACCTGCAGTATCCAGTGTCAAGAAAAAGAGATACAGTATCAGAAATAAAAGGGGCCTGACCAGAGTGGCTCAGTTGAATGAGCATCTTTCTGTGCACCAAAAGATTGCCAGTTGATTCCCGGTCAGGGCACATACCTGGGTTGTGGGTTAGATCCCCAGCTGGGGCACGTATGGAAGGCAATCAATCGATGTTTCTCTTTCACATCTTTCTCTCTCTCTCCCTCTCTTAGCATGTCCTCAGGTGAGGGGGTAAAAGGGAGATGGATAGCTACAGCCTGGGAACTATTTATTCTGCACAGTAGCTTTTTATAATTTTGATTCAATAGCAATACTTAAAAATTCAGACTTAGGGGCTTCTAGGGGAAAATCAGAACATCTTGGCCACACTGGTCCCACATGGCAATAATGGGCCGAAACAGAGTAGTTGCTCTCTGTAAGTGGGACACCCACTCTCATGCTTTTAATGCTCACATCAGACCAATTATTGACACACTGTGTTAGACTATTGAGTTTGTAACCTGAGTTAAGAAGAAAAAAAAGAATACTATTGAATACAAGTGGAAAACATGCAACTCATTATTCCCCAAATGGCATGAATGAAAGTATAAACACATTCAAGATAGCCATGGTGAGTAGATCCAAAATCCTTTGTTAAGGGGTACTTGGGGTATATTCTTAATATTTTTGAGAATGGCACCATAAAAGACATTTCTGGTTGTCACAGAACAAAGCCTAGGCTGGGCCATTATATCTCATATATAGTACAATGTCTATGCACACTGACTATACAGAAATGTGCATGCTTATGAAAACAGATTTTCAGTTAAATTGAATCATATGTAAAATAGCTCACTTACTATGAAAGAAGTCCTCTGACAGAATATGTTTTTTTAATCCTCACCTAAGGACATGCCTACTGCATGTGCCCTGACCAAGGATCAAACCTGCAACCTGGGTATGTGCCCTGACTGGGAATCGAACCCTCAACCTTTAGATGTACAGGACGATGTTCCAATTAATTGAGCCACACTGGCCAGGACTAGGATATGTTTTTATAGGGAGCTTCCTTTGGCTAAGAATTGATGGCTCATTTTTCTTCATTAAACACATGGATTTTCTCATATTGGATTTTGGATTTACTCCTATTTCTCCCTTTTTAAAAAGATTTTTTTTTCTTTATTGATTTTAGAGAGAGACGAAGGGAGAGGGAGAGAGAGACAGAAATATCAATGAGAACATCAATTGGCAGCCCCTGGGGGGATCTGGCCCACAACCTGGGCATGGACCCTGACTGGGAATCGAACTAACAACCTCTCGGTGCGGGGGTCGATGCTCAACCACTGAGCCACACCGGCCGGGCACTCCTATTTCTCTTGAGTGGGCTGATAAAATGTCTGGGCTAATTTAGTTTGTTTCCATCTATTTTTACAATCTACATCTATTAACTCCTAAAATAAAGAGATCTGACTAAGGAACAACTTCTGGGCCTGGAAGAAAAATATCTATTGTGACAGGTAAGCTGGATGATGAATGATAAACCCTGAAATATCTTCATCAAGCAAGAGGATACGCATCACAGCACACTTTGTATCAGAACCTGTTTACAAAATAGACATGATTTTAAGATGACTGTTCCAGGATAAAAGAAAAATGGAAGATTCTCTGGTAATAAAATTATATAGGCCCTAACTGGGTAGCTCAGTTGGTTAGAATGTTGTCCCAATATACCAAGGTTGCAGGTTCAATCCCCAGTCAGGGTACATACAAGTATTAGCCAATGAATGCATAAATAAGTACAACAACAAATCAATGTTTCTCTCTCTCTAAAAAAAAAAAAAACCAATAAATTTTTTAGAGAGTTTTTAAAAAATTATATATCCACTACAGTAATGTTAAATGTACTTGAAAACACAGTATTTTCATCTAAGAGACTTAGAGCACAACCATGGTCAGACTGGGCTCCCAGAGGCCAGCTTACAGGGACTGAGGGTCTTTACAAAGCTCTTGGAATGTCTTCTAGACTCCGATTATACACATCGTTTCTATTTACACTTGCCTCTTTTGCATTAATTCCTGCTGGCCCAAATCCTGTACTGCTTGGACTCAGTTTTGGGGGAACGGTCTTTGCTTACATTTCATATTTTCTTTTCTCCCTCACTGTGGGCCAACTTCAATTTTCTGCCCCTACAGTAGCTGATCTTCCAAACTATATTTGGCTTCAGCCTTCTCAATTCAAAGGACCTGTCTTGCTCATCAAGTAATGTAGAGCAGTTGTCCAGTCAGGGAAGCTGGGGGCTGAAGGAGGTTTCAAATGAAAGGAGTCCATCAAACACTACAGTGTTTGCTACTTGGCCTAAGTCTCTGAGTTCCAAAAAATCTAGTGACAGACACGATTCTCCTGTTCCCACCAACTTCTAATATGTCTTGCTTGCTAGAGCTAAAATTCTGTTATTTAAAAGTGTATTTTTCTCTTTTTTTTAATATGTTTTTATTTATTTCAGAGAGAGAGGGAGAGAGAGAGAGAAACATCAATTGGTTGCTTCCTGCATGCCTCCTACTGGGGACTGAGCCCGCAACCTGGGCATGTGCCCTGACCGGGAATCAAACCGGGGACCTTCTGGTACATGGGTCGATGTTCAACCCCTGAGCTACACAGGCTGGGCTAAAAGTGTATTTCTTTAGTCAACTTAAAAAAAGAGAGAGAGTGACAAAGAAAGAAAACCCTGCCACCCTGAAGACCAAATACAAGGTGTGGCAAAAGTAGGTTTACAGTTATGGGTACACAAAGCAGAGTTTATTCTTGTATTATTAAATTGTATTATTTTCCATATGAACAACTCTAAACCTACCTTAGCCCCACCATGTGCCCCATTTCTTCTGTCCCTTTTCAAATTTTATCCATAGTTCTTATGATTGTACCCATAGAGAATATATACTTTTGTGATCTATTTTTGTATTTAACATTATTTTGTAAGTAGTTTTCCATATGTTGCATAGCCTTACAGTTATTAACTCAGTAAGTATGCAGTATTTCACTTCCAATGTTTATGAGGCCAACATTCTGTGCTGCAGTTCAAAGTACAAGTGATTTGAAATAAAAAAAATTGTTCTAGCCCTGGCCGGTTTGGCTCAGCGGTTAGAGCGTCGGCCTGCGGTCCTGAGAGACCCGGGTTCGGCTCCCGCTAAGGGCACGTACCTCGGTTGCAGTTTGTCCCCGGCTCTGGTCAGTCGTGCGGGTGGCAGCCACTCGATGTGTTCCTTTCACATCGATGTTTCTCTCTCTCTCTCTGTTCCTCTCTCTCCCTCCCACTCTACCTGAACAAAAAAAAAAAAGGAAAAATGTCCTCGGGTGAGGATAAAAAAAAAAAAATTGTTCTAGTCCAGGATCCTCCACTTACTAAGAAGTTACTTAATCTTCCTTATCTGTAAAGTGGAAACGATGATACTGATAACTTCCTTGCAGGCTTATTGAGAACACTAAATTATGGATTGTGAAAGCTGCCTTATCCCAGGGATACTAGATGTTATGGACTGAATTGTATCCTCCAAAATCCATAGGTTGAAGCTCTAACCTGCAATGCATTTGATATGGGGCATTTAAGGAGGTATTTGAGGTTAAATGAAGTCATAAGGATGCATTCTAATCCGACAGGACTAGTGTCCTTGTTAAGAGGAAGAGACACCAGAGGAAAGGTTACATAAAGACACAGCAAGAAGGTGACCGTTTGCAAGCCATGAAGAGTCTTCACCAGAAACCAACTCTGCCGACACCTGATTTTGGACTTCTAGCTTCTGGAACTGTGAGAAGATAAATTTCTGTGGTGTTGTATTAGGGTAGCCTGAGCTGATGAATACAGTGGGCATTAGAAGAAGGATGGCCCTGGCCGGTTTGGCTCAGTGGTTAGAGAGTCAGCCTGCGGTCCAGAGAGACCCGGGTTCGGTTCCCACTAAGGGCATATACCTCGGTTGCAGTTTGTCCCCGGCCCTGGTTGGTTGAGCGGGTGGCAGCCACTCGATGTGTCCCTTTCACGTCGATGTTTCTCTCTCTCTCTCTCTCTTCCTCTCTCTCCCTCCCACTCTATCTGAACAAAAAAATGGAAAAATGTCCTCGGGTGAGGATAAAAAAAAAAAAAAAGAAAAAAAAAGAAGAAGGATGGATGTCCAGGTGGTTGACACTGGGAAACATCTGTTAAAGGTGAGGCCACCCTACAGAGTCCTTTTGTGGACAGCAAGAGCAGCATCAGTGTTAGGGGCTTCCTCAGCATCCTGAGCCTCACAAAATATCCCCAGGGGAGAGAGATCTCAGTTAGGTATCCATTTGCTGCCCACACTATGTCACCTCTGAAAGTTGAAGCCTGGGAAGAATGGCTGAAAAGAACATTGGCAGGGCCTTGTAACTTTCTTTAACCAATGGCCCATAAGCAAACATGATGTACATCTTGTCCAAACAAAATTCTCACACAGTCCTCTTTTCCTTCTGCCATGAGAATGCCCTATCTCAAGCAAAAGGTGTTCCTTCAGCCTTGCTTGTCCTTCTCAATGCCTGTATATATCTGAGTCCACATCTGCTTCCCTCCTCCCTAATACAGGTTAGGAGGCACAGGAAACTGGCTGGAAATCTAACTGGTCAGAAGGGTACCAGA